GGTGGGGAGCAGCAGATGAGGGGGGGGAGGATGCCTCGGGGGGGTTCCTGCACCCTGTCACCCACCAGTGCCCACCAGGTTTCTGCCACCTCTACCTGCCCCCGGACAAGTTCCCCCGTGGGTTCCGCTTTGATGCCGACGAGGTCAACTTCCCCACCAGCAACCTCTGCTTCGTGGGGCTCATGTCCATGATCGACCCCCCCCGCGCTGCCGTTCCCGACGCCGTCGGCAAGTGCCGCAGCGCCGGCATCAAGGTGGGAACCACTGACACCCCCAGAGCCCCCCAGCTCCCCCTGATCCTTCTCCAGCTCCCCTCTGGGCAGGGGGTCACCCCTCTGAGTGTGTTGCCAACCCCCCCAGGTGATCATGGTGACTGGGGACCACCCCATCACGGCCAAGGCCATCGCCAAGGGTGTTGGGATCATCTCGGAGGGGAACGAGACGGTGGAGGACATCGCTGCCCGGCTCAACATCCCCGTCAGCCAGGTCAACCCCCGGTAGGTGCTGATGCTGGGGCGTCCCAGGAGGGTCCTGGGGGGTCTGGTGGCCCCTGCTGAGGCTGCAGTGTGACAGGGAGGCCAAGGCCTGCGTGGTCCACGGCTCTGACCTGAAGGACATGACCTCGGAGCAGCTGGATGAGATCCTCAAGAACCACACGGAGATCGTCTTCGCCCGCACGTCCCCCCAGCAGAAGCTCATCATCGTGGAGGGATGCCAGCGCCAGGTGGCCCTGTCCCCATGTCCCCTGCTGCCCCACAATGGCCCCAGCCCCATGCCACACAGTGCCCTTGTCCCCGTGCCCCACCTTGTCCCCATGTCCATGCCCCACAGTGTCACTATGCCCCTTAATGTCCCCCATCCTTGTGCCACTTGATATCCCCATCCCCGTGTACCACGGTGCCACCGTCCCCGTGCCCCGCAATGCCACCATCCCCGTGCCTCCTGGTGTCCCCATTCCTGTGCCCCATAATACCTCTGCCCCTGTCCCTGACCCTGCTGTCCCCAGGGCGCCATCGTGGCAGTGACAGGGGACGGGGTGAACGACTCCCCAGCCCTGAAGAAGGCGGACATCGGCATCGCCATGGGCATCGCCGGCTCCGACGTCTCCAAGCAGGCGGCCGACATGATCCTGCTGGATGACAACTTTGCCTCCATCGTCACCGGCGTGGAGGAAGGTCAGGAATGGACCAGGAGGGAGGGGGGACACACAGGGAGGCGGAGGACCCCCAGTCGTGCCCATCCCCCTCCCCTCAGGCCGCCTGATCTTTGACAACCTGAAGAAATCAATCGCCTACACCCTGACCAGCAACATCCCTGAGATCACCCCTTTCCTCCTCTTCATCATCGCCAACATCCCCCTGCCCCTGGGGACCGTCACCATCCTCTGCATCGACCTGGGCACTGACATGGTGAGGGGGGGGCCACAGGGACCCCCAAACCCCTGTTATGGACCCTAAGGGACCCCCACATCCCCATGCCCCTGGGTACCATCACCATCCTCGCTGACCTGAGCAGTGACATGGTAAGGGGGGCTGGATGGGGGGTGACAGGGGCAATGTCCCCCCAGGTCCCTGCCATCTCACTCGCCTACGAGGCAGCCGAGAGCGACATCATGAAGCGCCAGCCCCGGAACCCCCGGACCGACAAGCTGGTGAATGAGCGGCTGATCAGCATGGCCTACGGGCAGATCGGTGGGGGCCGCTCAGAGCTGATCCCTCCTCCCGGGTTCTCCTGCCCCGATCCCGGGTTTCCTGCCTCCTTAATCCCGGGTTTCTTCCCCAGGGATGATCCAGGCCCTTGGTGGTTTCTTCACCTACTTCGTGATCCTGGCGGAGAACGGGTTCCTGCCCGGGACGCTGGTCGGGATCCGCCTGGCCTGGGACGACCGGTCCACTAACGACCTGGAGGACTCCTACGGCCAGGAGTGGGTGAGCAGCCCCACAACCCCTTGCACTCCCTCTTGCACACCCATGCAGCCCCCACCCTTGCACATCCACATGCTTGTGAATGTGTTTGCACACACCATCCCACACCTGCACATCCCCTTGCACTCTTGTTCACAACCTCACATGAGGCTGCTCACGCTCAGGCCCATGTACCCTCACGCACCTGTGTGTGTGTAAAGCCCTTGCACACTCATCATCACACACGGGTTCATTTGTACACACCCATCCTGCTCTTCTCCCCCTGCCCATCCCTTCCTGCCTGCGTGCAAAGGGTGTGGGTCACTGTGTGAAGGGGCTCACACAGGCGTGCAAGGGGTGTTCACACGAGTGTGTGACGAGGCCGTTCCATCCCCCCAGACCTACGAGCAGCGCAAGGTGGTGGAGTTCACGTGCCACACGGCGTTCTTCGCCAGCATCGTGGTGGTGCAGTGGGCCGACCTCATCATCTG